TTTTCTTTAGTAATAATCAGACTGGACTCGATTCCACCCCGGTCACCACCATCACTCCGACACTACCCATTTCCATCGCCCTCGGGTCTGGGAGCGGCGGCGACTGCAATTTTGATGGCAGTGTCGTTGAAGGTGTCAATGCCAATGATACCGACGCTGGTAGACGGGCCAGTCTGAGTAGTGGTCGAGGTAGCAGTGAAGGTAGTGGATGTGGCATCATGCTTTCTTCAACGCAACACCAACCTCTCCAAGTAGCACATTCTAATTTGGCCTGTTTCGTGTCCAGAAGCCGAGACCTCGCCATGACAACTGTTCTCGCCTCCTCTGCCGCTTTGCCTTCTCCCAGCCCTCATTTGCTGAATTCGCCGATCGGTGGACGCGCATTGACGTCCACTTCCATGGTCTCAGGTGGGACAGCAGTTATGCAGTCGCAATCGCAGCCACTTTTGGGGCGTACTGGTCTGCCTAATTCGGTCAGTCTGTTGGGCACGGGCAGCAGCAGTGGGAGTGCGACTAGTAGCACTGGCAGTGCAGCGTGCGGGCTGCTGCCGCCGCATTTTCTGGCTCAACAGCCCATGTCAGCTGGCCATCCGCCGCACGAGGGCGAGCCAGAAGGAGCAATATTCACACGAGATTCTGTTGCTGATCGGATTTCACCAGCAAGAAAGCAGATCCTTGATGACCCTTCTGGCTCGCCTTATCTATCGGGAGCTTCTACTGCCTTAGCACAACCTGTAAGTATGCTTTTTTTCTATCAATTTCGCTACATCGTAGATATAAAGAACAAGATGTTGTCAGTCGCAGTCTCCTTTCGCTGTGAGGATGTGGTCTCCCTGATTTTTGTAACTTGGCTGAGTTGTCAGGGTGGCCTATTTGGATGCACCTTGTCCGAAGTCCTCTGAAATATTTGTTATGATGAATTCCAGCAGTTTACCCTATACTTGGTGCATTTTGCAACTTTCTAATGTTAAAATCTATATTCATTGGTTATTTCAAACTCTTGCATACGCGATAGTATCGCTTGCGGATCAGAACCTATTAAAATTTACTGAAATCACGATGACTATTTTGGACTTACTCTTAACTACCTTACATATACTAGGGAATCTTAAAGGATATTGCTATTTAATTAGGCTTTTTTTAAATGGTTAGTGGTGAGACTCTCTGAACAGTTTTTGCTTGCCTTCAGCGAGGATTTCTCAATTATCTCATTTTCATGCTTTATCTCAGCCTGCCCTCTTCTTACTTATCATAATTGGGAGGGCATGATATCCGATCTTTATACTCAGCTGCATTCAAGATATATGCAACAAATAAATTATTTTCGCTTAACCCATCCCAGCTTTCATGTCGAGGCATAAATTTCAGACTTATCTGGGTTTGTTACCTGCTTATTTCACTATGTAGCATCATGTGTCCTTTAGCATATTAACTACCCAAATGACCATTTCAGGTTTAATTATTTATTTTTATTTTTTAGCAGCAGATAATTTTATTGGTTTCCTTTGCGCCCTCCAGTATTCGCATTTATTTCATCTATGAGTGGACATTTTTCTCTTTCGTGGTTCTATTTGCACCGTTACATGACAGAAAATATTAAGTATATCCTTTTAGTTGAACATCCTACATCTAATGACTATCGCTTGCTTATGCTAATAGTCTTGATTGACCGAAAACCCCTTCAAAGACAATGCTAGTTACATGCTATTTTATGCACACTCCAGAGCACCGCTTTCACCACCTAGCTAACTTGTATCTCATCCATTTCCCTTGCTTTCTTGTCTCACTTTTTACCCTAGTATATATGAAAAAAACTGTCTTGATCCCCTGATCAAATTTAGCAAGTAGCAAATCTTGCTATCCACGGTTGACTAAATTTCATCATATTACGCTTTGCTTCCCTTTATTTTTGTATCGCCTTTTTTGACAGTATATACTACTTATTCTCTCTATGCATATATATATATATATTACCTCTTATTTTTTCCGCATGACAGTCCCAGTATTATCAGTTTCTGTCTACCACATGCTTATAATATATTCCAATGGCCATCCCCTATATTTCTAAC